GTTGTCATTCATGTGTACACCCAAGTACTTGTAGCTGGAGACCACTTCCACCGCAGATCCTCTTATGTTCAGGGGGGTGTAGATGTTTTTGTTCCTTCTGAAGTCCACAATCATCTCCTTTGTCTTCTTCACATTGATGTGAAGGTTATTCTCTCTGCACCAGCTCTCCAGGTGTTCCACCTCTTGCCTGTAGCTGGACTCATCATTGTTTGTGATGCATCCCACCACCGCTGTATCATCTGCAAACTTTACAATGTGACAGCCTGGATGGGTAGCTGCACAATCATACGTGAGCAGAGTAAACAGGAGGGGGCTCAACACACATCCCTGAGGAGAGCCAGTACTGAGGGTTATGGTGGAGGAGGAGAAGTTGTGGATCCTCACTAACTGTGGTCTGTTTGTTAAAAAGTCTAGTACCCAGTTGCAAATGGAGGGGCTTAGTCCTAGTGTGGATAGTTTGTTCATCAGGGTTTGGGGGATCATGGTGTTGAAGGCGGATGTGAAGTCCACAAAGAGCATACGGACGTAAGAGTTTTTCTGCTCCAGGTGGTTGAGCGCAGTGTGGACCACAGAGGAGATGGCATCCTCTGTTGATCGGTTCTCACGGTATGCATACTGATGAGATGAAATGATGTTTGTTGCTTAGCAGTATTTAAGCTTTGCCACCTTTGTAAGTAAATGTTTTGTACGTTAAGCAGCAGAGTTGCGTTGTTGGTTACGCAGAAACACAGCTTATTCAGCTCATGTTTCACCTTGTTCATTGGACTGAAGAAATAAGGATTTAAGAAACAAGACATACTGACAATTCAACAATTTATTTAACACACAGGGGCTTCGGGAGCATGTGGAAGAACCTTACACAGCCACAACAGCCTCATCACTCACCAGTTTGGTCACATATGCCTCATTTCCATAGACCAACAGTGTGCTGATGTCACATTTTAGGGTCCTGCTTGGCCTCAATGGAACCGCAGAGAAGTAGGTACTGAAAAAACAGGCCAGTTCCACGAAGAAGGCCCTGTGGAAAAGAACACGGAACCGGCCTGAGCAGGGCAAAGCGGGGCCAAGGAGGAACTGTGGAAAAGGGGCATTACAGCATTGCTGTGGGATGGCATCCCAGAGTCAGAATCAGAGTCAGAGAGATTTATTTGTCATACATGTGGTACATGTGGTGGAACAAGATTATGTACGCAGGGTCCCAGTTGCATCCAACAATAAAATGTAAAGAAAAACAGCAATAAGATCTAAGATATGAACCAAGAAAAACATCAACTAAAAATACGCTAAGCACTAGTAGCATAAAAACAATATGTTGAACAGCAGCACGAACATGAGTCTGTGTGAGCAGATGACACGCGTGAACGCAGCAACATGAATCCCATTCTTCCATCAGTATTTGCCAGAAATCAGCCAGTGGTGATTGGTTGTGTTGGCCACTCTGGAATAAACAGCACACCTGATATGATCCTACAGGTGTTCAGTGGAGTTGAGGTCCAGACTGCAAGCAGACCAGTCCATCCTCTCCACTCCTAAACTCTGGAGGTATTCTCCGATAGACTGTGGAGAATTGTCATTATCACTGGTTGCTAATAGGTGTTGAATAATGGTGTTTTGCCACTGTCTCAACTCTCATTGGCTCCACACAACACTGCACCAGTCCAGGGCCCCTCCACTGTCGGTATCCACCCCACTTAGCTCGGTTCACGGGACCACCTTGTTTGAAGTTCCAAGCAGTTTGCTCCGAGTGGTTGATTTTGACATAAGCAGCCAGCAGCCGCTGATTGGCCAGCGAAGCTACATCACTGGATGACCCGCTCAGCAAAACTGCAAACTACATCTGAACCTCCACATCCTCATCGTGTTAACGGACGGCGCCACATGTATTTAGCACATTTACAGCGAGATATCAGAGATGATGGCACATCATGGCTACACCTGGACGTAACAGAAATTCAAGGGCAATTAAGGACGATGACAGTCGGAGTAGCTCAAACACAAACCAGCTACGAGCCCGCTCACTTTGCATTGACAATCCCACTCACTCTCTATTGCACTGGGGCTGCACTTACCAATGGCAAAGCGGCATAACAGATTCCCATCAGGCGGCTGATTGTCAGCACCTGCGGTACCAGAAGCTCAAAACATGAGTCAGTGGCAGAATATCAGAATGACTGGCAGAGGAGTTTTGGCAAGTCTAATCATGAGCACATACCTAACTCTGCTGCTCATCCCACAAATGCATTTTTCTTACAGAACTAAGCAGGCTTTTCAACAGTACAAGACTCACTGCCAAGAAGCGATTCTCATGCATTCTCCCTTCCTCATGCAACATCATTGTAAGAAAAGGAAGATACAGCTTTTTAAAGGAGTGTTTTCAGATTACTGGTGACATTTTCACACTAATAAGTGCTACTTGTAATGATAGCAGAGGGTTTGAAGCTCCTCGTTGAGTCTTAAATGTGGAATCTGCAGTATGACAATTAGAATTGTCAGGAAAGTCCTTCACTGAAGTGGTGAAGTATGTCTTCGCCTCTTGTCTTTAATTATCCTCAGCCGTAATTAAGACCGATTCCTCTCAGAGCCTGAGGATTACCGACCTCAGAGATTAAACTTATCTGTCCTTGTCTCTATGCTTCTGAATTCTTGCAGACGTTTGTTTTTATTCCGAGCTGGTGCTTTTCCATATCTGCCTGTGCGGTGTGTATATATGGGGTTTTGTTTGTGAGTCCAATCCAGACAGCAGCAGAGGGGGATATCCTGTTTATCGTCTTGCATGATGACTCAGTGGTGGAAGATGGAGTGCAAGATTTTGGTGGGAAAAGCAGAAGTGTTCAGAGACAAGCAGGGAGAGTCGTTTTTGCACATCATCAGTTAAGCAGCACTCTCCAGACACCAAAGACTTTGATTTTTCTTTTTTCTTCCCCATCCCTCTCCAATTAGGGATAATTGCAGTGAGAGTGGAAGAAGAGAGAGTTTTGAAGTTGGAACCACCGCGCAGCCTTTACTTACCTCTGACCCCGCTTGTCTCGCAATTGAATAATTACACACATCCCCCTCCTGGTAATTGTTGTTCTCCAACCCCCTCCGTGTTTTGATGGGGCAAAAGAAGGAGGCAAAGAAAACCTGAGCTGGATAATAACAGTGCGCCGGTCGTGGCTGTGGTCACTTTGGTGATTTCCTTCTTTCATTTAGCTCACGGGGAGCTGCCAGTCAAGGCCCGGCCGCTGGATGTGGAGCGATGCTAGTTTGTGTGTGAGAGACACTTAAGGTTATAAAAGACAAGAAGCTTCGGGGACGGTTGTAAATACTGGGCTCCTCAGACTGAGTGTCTCATCTTCTTCAAATCTGGAGATGAAAGCTCAAATCCACACGCCGAGTCCTAATGGTTTTAGCAGAGCAACAGGAAGGATACGGAACCGCCAAGGGTTTCGGTGGGTTTGTCCGGCTCCTCCATAAGCCTCAGCGTCTGCACCCAAAGACCACACTGCTAACAGCCAGCAGGGCTTCTACCTCTGATCCCGTTTTAACTCAAACCCACATGTCTCAATGAACTTTTGTCCTCCAGCCGGACCAGGCTGGTGAATTAAAACCACATTACTGGGATTATTTGTGTGTTTTCTTAGGGAGTGGAATTAGCACCGTGCAACGATGGATGAATCACTGCAGAGTCAGGGAATCAGTGAAGCATCACGAGTGTTTGAAGAGATCTGTTATTTTTGGAGTCAAAATGTAAATGACAGCATGATTTTTCTGATTCAGAGTCTGACATGATGATTTGTGCTGTTTTAGAGGAAACGTTGGTTTTCAGATTGTGTAACGTGAAAGGTTTGTATTAATAACAGTGACACATTTGTGGCGTTGCCTGAAAACACAACATAAAACAAGATATTACTGGTTTTCTGTTGTCCACCCCCACTATATTACTGCAAGTTGGTATTCCTAACACTTTATATTTGGTTTGCAAACAATTTCTGTGCAAAAACAAATTTAGTTATAGTTGCAAAAAGGGTGGCACAGCTAGTAGAGCTGCTGCATCTCAGCGAGGAGGTCGCCGGTTCAAATCCCAGCTGGGGCCTTTCTGGGTGGAGTTTGCATGTTCTCTCCGTGCATGCGTGGGTTTTCTCCGGGTACTCCGGTTTCCTCCCACAGACCCAAAAACATGCATGTTAGGCTGATTGGTCTTTTTCTTTGTGTCCCTGTGATGGACTGGAGACCTGTCCAGGTGTCCCGCCTCTCACACAGCTGTAGCTGGACATAGGCACCAGTGACCCCCGCACCTCGAAAAGGAAGAAGTAAAGATAATGGATGGATGCAGAAATGGAACATTGACATTCTCAACTTGTAACACTGACACAATTTTTATTTTTTATTTTCATTCACTCTTTTCACTACTTTTCCTTTTGATTGTCCTTTTGGTTGCCATTTTTATTTTAACTTGTTAAAAAAAAAAATTGTACGCATCTTTTATGATTGTCCACTGTTGTCATCACTCTTTGTTAAAAACTTCAGGTCTCTCTTGTAAATGAGTCCCAGAGGCTCAATGGGATTAACCTGTTTAAATAAAGGTTGAATGAATGAACTTTGCTTTATTTTCCAATTTCCCACAAGTTTCTCCTCCATTTTTCCCTTTTCTGATTCATATTTTGGTCAATAAGGAAGAAGCGGGTAAACATAATGGATAAATTAATTCATTCAACCTTTATTTAAACAGATAAATCCCATTGAGCCTCGGAGACTCATTTACAAGAGAGACCTGTTTGGACAGACAATAAAAAGTGGTGAAAAATGACACAAAGGGTTTGGAGACCAAAAAAATTCCTAACATGCTCTTAATCTTTGGCTGAAGGTTAACCGCATGATAATGAGAAAAATCCTTGCTCAACAAGCACATAATGACGGGGACGTACATCGTTAGGTTGATGACATTTATTGTTTTGCTGAGGTCAGAATAAACCACGAGTGTAACTTGATCATGACTTTCATCTCTCCTGCCTTCGCAGACCAACCTGAGCCAGAAGTTGTCCATGTGCAGCAAACTATGTTTTGCCATTGGTGGAGCTCCGAAGGAGGTGGCTGCCAGCGCCACAGCCTTCTTCCTGCAAATCTATCTGCTCGATGTTGCTCAGGTAAACCTGTCCGGGGGACAGAGAGTACATGAACGTGTATAAAAATAAATAAATAAATAAATCTGCGGGTCTCATACGTGAGCTCTGAACTCTGTTTCTGCTCCACTCTGCAGATCAACGCCGTCCAGGCCTCCATGGTCTTGTTCGTAGGTAAAGTCTGGGGTGCCGTAACCGATCCCATCGTTGGTTTCTTCATGACAAAAAGCAGGTGGACCAAGATTGGCAGACTCATGCCCTGGTAATCACACAATCCACAGATATCGTCAGCACAACTAAAATGACAAGGCTTCAAAACTGCGTTTTAAGACAACTAAAAACGGACAACAAATGAAAATAAAAACTATCACGCCTCGACGGAATGCATTTCTAAGCTTTAGCTGTTTTTGTGTTCGTTAGGGTCGATTAACAGCGGCAGCCATCTTGAATCAGGTTGATTCCGACTGTAAATGCCAGAGTTGTAAATAAAACTCTTGTGCGATCTGTTAGCACTTGGAGTTCGTGTTGGGAACGATTCTCAGCTACTACCACGTCGACTCTGAGCTCCATATCTGTTAAAATGACTGACTTTTAGCCTTTCTTGTGTTGACTGATTAGCTACCGCACTCATTGTTTGAATTAAACTGACTAGTTGCAAAATAACATCAAATTTCTGAATCTGTGATATTTTGCAAACAGAAAAACTTTGGACAATATAATTTTTGCAAAATGAATGACCTTGATTATCTCAATATACACCTTATTATATATATTTATCTTGCCTTTAAGCTGCTGTATTAAAACCCATCTGCTCACCACAGACTCATGTTCAGGCTGCTATTTAATACATAGTATTACATTACATTATTAGTGTTTAGCGTATATCTTAGATCCTTATATACTATTTCTTTTTATACTTTATATTTTGCTATGTTTGGATGGGGGCAGCACGGTGGCGCAACTGGTAGAGCTGCTGCCTCTCAGCGAGCAGGTCATTGGTTCAAACCCCGGTCCAGGGGCCTTTCTGGGTGGAGTTTGCATGTTCTCTCCGTGCATGCGTGGGTTTTCTCCGGGTACTCCGGTTTCCTCCCACAGTCCAAAAACATGCATGTTAGGCTGATTGGTAACTCTAAATTGTCCCTAGGTGTGAGTGAGAGAGTGAATGGTTGTTTGTCTCGTTTGTCTCTATGTGTCCCTGTGATGGACTTGCGACCCGTCCAGGGTGTACCCCGCCCCTCGCACAGTGATTGCTGGACATGGGCACCAGCGACCCCCGTGACCCAAAATGAAATAAGCGGGTAAAGAAAATGGAAGGATGGATGGATGTTTGGATGTAAGCGGGACCTTGAGTACACAATTTCATTCCACCTCATGTACCACATGTTATGCAACCTTTAACCCCTTACTATCCAGAGGCAGTAAATTAGCATTTTTCACATCTGCAAAGGTTAAAATACTAGAATGTTACAGTCAAATCCTTTTAACGAGGATTAAATGCAAGCATCACATTATAAAAATAAATAGTCTTAACATTTTTGCTTGTTTTTTGCTGATTCGGAGAGTTTCCGATTTCCTAAAAGTGCTTTTTCAAGCCACTCAAAAATGAGACTAAACTGTTTGTTCACATGTTTTTTTGTTTTTTTTTTAGCCACAACCTTTGGTCAGGTTATTTCTGATTTCTTTTGGGGAGAAAATGTCTGTTTTCCCTCCACACAGCCAAGCCTGTGTATAAAAAAACACAAAAATGTGTTCATAAATTCTGAACGCTGTTTGGCTCCTTTGCCCTCATATATAATTATGGTGACTGCGTGATGCTGCTGTTTGCTGCAGAATCTCAACAAAAACAAGCAAAGCGCCCCGTGTTTGGAGGAGCATTTTAAAAAGGCTCCTCTAAACTCACACCTGAGGATTAGATAAACAGCAGCTGTGTTTAGCTCTCCACTCGCCCTCGGCTCAACCAGTTTGCTTTAAGGGCATCGATTGCTTTTTCACTTTTCATGCCAGGACGCATTACACCGGTTTACGTGCGTTATTTTCTGATGCGCCGCTCAGCTACATCTCTCGTGTGACGCCTCTCGGGGCCTTCGGATTGAAATGTTACGTGTGACAATGTGGATTTCTATTCATCCCCTTCTCTCAAATAGGATTTGTTTTAAAGCTGCTAAGCATGCGTGTGTGTATTTCTTTTTAGAACACACTAGCGTGACAGCTTCTATCACGACACCAAACCCTGTAGATCTGGAGCGAGTCCAAATCCACAGTTACCAAAGAGCCACACTCAGCTGCAGACAGATGCTGAGGTTTAATCAGCTTTGATTACCCCTGGGAGCATGGAGATTTGTGCGTTCCTGACTCTGTGTGTGTGTGTGTGTGTGTGAGCTGAACAGCGTTTGTGATGACAGGGTAAGACACTCCCTGAGTTTTTATCCTATTTGGAAAGTCCCGTCTGTCCATTCAACAGGAAGCTTACACATCCACAGGCAGACATTTAGTGATTTGTATCTTTGCCCTGAGTGCTTAACGATGGAAGCTTTGGGCCCTAAAACGTCCCTTTGGGTACTGGTATGTTGATTATATGTGACTGCTGCTGTGAATTACCAGCAAGCAGCAACAAAAAAACCCAAAAAAACTTCTAAGACTTTTTTTTTTAACGCTATGCATTGGAAGAAAACTAAAAAATAAACGTTAGTGGTTGGGTACGTTTCAAACTCAAGGCTCCAGCGCCAAATATGGCTCTTGTTAGCATTCGTCTGTCCTCCAACATATTTTTTAATGTAAAATATTTTTATTGCTTCACATTTTGCTTTCATATAGTAGCATATTTTATTGATGACCTCTCACGACAGTTGGCCATGTCTGAACCCAAGAAAAATGTATTTAAATGTTTCAGTCATCTTTGATTTTATGGGAAAAGAGCAACAGAGGACGTCAAATGAGACCAATCAAACGCTTGTCGAGGGACCTGCAACCAAGAAAACATGTCAGGTATCTGATTTGAGGTTATGTATCGACTGAATTTGGCCCTAAGATTGAAACGAGTTAAATTTAGTGCAACTTAGTTTACCATACTTTCCGCCCTATAAGTCGCATCAGTCCAAAAAGTCTAATAAAGTAGAAAAAAAAACCATAAATAAGTTGCATCTATTCTGGAAACGTGGGACGGCGTTGTGCCAAAAATTGATTGGCTGCCAAATGGCGGCTGCAGGAAATTTGAAATTTAACACGATAACCACCTAAAAACAATTGTGTTTGAGCAAAATTACAGTAAAGGTGTGTCTCAGTTGAACTTTTCCTTAATAAATGCACTTTAATGGGCAAATCAGCTGCATTTCACCTGGGCGGTGCGGAGAAATGCAGCTGATTTGACGTTTGCTCCAGGAGTTCCAGAGCGAGACGAAGGTGGCTTTGTATGGCAAGCCAAGTGTCTCATTAATAGCCACTTTTGCCTATTAATGAGACACTTGGCTTGCCATGTTACTCGAGGGCCCTCTAACGGTTGAAAATGGTTGTGTTCAATACTTTCCATGTCGGAATGAATGAAATGGTCAGATCTCAGCCAAAAATTGAATTATAAATATGGAGCAAAACCATAAATACGTTGCTTCAGTGTATAAGTTGCAGGATTTGCAAATTTATGCAAAAAGGTGCAATTTATACAGCAAAAAATACGGTAAGTTTGGCCCCCTTTTGTAACTAAGTTTGACAGTTCAAAGCTTTAGTTTAGCTCAGACCAATCAGTTTGATGTCACATCGTCTGAGAGCTCCTCAAACACATTCTGACCTTCATGAAGTTGTGGACGCTTCGGGTTTTTGTGCAAACAAACGACTAATTGATGCGCATGAGATGCCATAAAATTGAGAGTAAAAATGATGATAGATTTGGTTTGACTGCTTCAGTTTTTAACCTTTTGAGTCAGATAATGGTGAATTAGAAATGGGAATTGCTATATTAGCAGTGGTGGCCAGTTCGTTGGGGCAGGCGAGGCGGTGCTCCACCTGAAAAATTAATTCGCCCCACAAAGTAGTTCCTCTTGATAAATAATGTAAATTACTTATTTACTGAGCGTGCTGTGTACTGTTTTGTTCTGTGTGTTTTTCAACTATGTTGACAATTTAACATGGAATTTAAAATGATTTTTAGCAGTTCATTCTCAGTTTTTTTACGGTTATGGGGCGGTGCCATTCAGTGATCAGTGGGATTTATCAAATCCCTGAGTCTGCAGTGAGTGAAACTGCTGGCAGCGTCACTGAAGTGTAGCAGAACATTTTATATAAAAACATTAAAGAGATATGTTTTGATGTTTGTTAAAAAAAAGAATATTTACTTTCTTACCTGTTGTATGTAGCTCTGACTGGCCTCAGTTTAAAAAGCTCAGTGTGTTAGGAAAATGAGTTTAAACATACAGCAGCAAGGTAAACAATGCAGGAGTCAACAAACGTCTAAACTTGACAAAAAGTGTATTAGACATATTTTATTTTACCACGGGCAATGTTTTGTCACATGTAGAGGGCGGGACTTAAAGCATGTTGCATCCAGCCAATAGAAAAAGCTGTTCTCATTCCAGCGTCACCCTCTCGGTTGCTGTTGGAGGTTTTAGAAATATCCAGTATAAGTTCTGACCAGATTATCAAGCTAAAACTAATAAAACATCTCCCTTCTCAAAACTTTTATTGTACTTGGTGCTATCGCTGTTTTACACCTCTTCACAGAATTGGCAATTTTGCATTACCTTTTTTTTTTTTTTTTTAACATATAATTCAATTGTGAGTGCAAATAGCAGCAGTGGCAGCTAGCTGTAGCACTTCTAATGCAGTCTGGGGGATCTCAGTCCACTTTAGTCCTCACCCACTCTCAGGCTAGCTGTTAGTTCGTCAATCCCATCTGAATTAAGCTATTTCCCCAAACTGAGGTTATTCAAAGAGCTATCTATAACAGGTGAGATACTAATTGTTCAGAATCTTTCCAGTGACCTCCACTGAAAATGATCCAAACTACACACAAGCTACAATTTAATATATTTATTTAACAATTACAATGTTTATTTCTGTATTAGAGTTTTAAGGTAGCATGATAAGACACTCTAAAGAAAAGGAGAATGTGTGTTTAGCATATGTGAAACTAATTATTTTGTATATTTTGGATATATAAACTACAAAGTCTAAACTATCCAAATGCTCTCCATCTATAGAGCATGTCAAAGGGCCAGGACCATAGTGAGGAACATTCGGCCACATTCACCTCCCACCTCATTGAATTTGACAGATATTCAGCTAACATTTGGTGTGGTAGTAGCTGAAGGTCATTCCCAACTCATACCCTGAGCATTAATTGATCTCATGAAAACTTGGATTCAAACTTTGCCACTAACTATTGGTGTAATTTCTGTATGTCTGTTAGCAAAATGCCTCGTGAGAATCTTGATGGATTTTGATGAAACCTTTAGAATACAGCCGTGGCAAGTACATCTACAACTGTTGACGTTTTTGAGTCTAATTCAAGATGGCTGCCACAGCTAATAAACAACAAAACAACACAAAAATGGGTAAAAGTTTGTCGAGGACAGAGATGTGTCAGTCGCAGTACATACACTAAACGCCACACTTAGCCTAAGATTTCTGTTTAAAACATTTATTGGAGTCAGCCCTCTTTGTCTGTTAGCAAAATATCTCGTAAACCACTTGACGGATTGTAACGAAGCTCTCAAACAATTATCACTGGGTGAACATCTACAAAGCTTAAAGCTTTGAAGTCAATCTAATTCAAGATGGCTGACATGGCTAATCAAGCATAGCCAACACAAAAAAGGCCACAGCTCAGTCAGTTTTACAGATATTGAGATCAAATTTAGTGTGGCTGTAGCTGAGAGTCCTCCCAACACACACTCAAGACTAAGAATTTGTCTTCATGTCTGCCGTCTTTCTCATTTTCCTTTTTCTTAGGATGGTGGGCTGCACGCCCTTCCTAGTGGTGTCGTACTTCTACCTGTGGTTCGTTCCTCCTTTCATCACCGGCAGGTTCATCTGGTACCTGGGCTTCTACTGCCTCTACCAGACCCTCATCACTGTGAGTACGCTTCACTTTCATGGCGCTCCACACAATCAGCTCGACCTCACTAGCAGTAAATAAAAGAAGTGACGACAGGAGATGAAAACTCTTCTGATTACACAACGTCAAAACTAAACACAGAAAGTTGCGAGCACATTCACGCATTTCGTTTTCTCGTTTGAAACAAATAATGAAAAAACAAAAACACACTAGTTTTTTTTTTTTCGTTTTCCCTCATCCGATTTTGTGCACAAGACGAAAATGGAAGAAACTAATAACGAGCGCTCACTTTCGATTATCATGATTTCACTTTTAACAAGTGGTCTGACCCGGAAACGTTTTTTGGGGGGAAAACCACACCCATGTTTGGAGAGGGTGGGGCATTCCAAATAAACCAGTTATTGTGATCCCAACAGAACATTCAATCTAATTTCAAATCAATTTACTTTGCACTGAAATATGTAATATTTTGCAAATCCAATATTGACTTTTTTTTTTTGTGATGAAATAAACATGCTGGTCCAAAAAAATTGTTTTGGGGGTAATGGTCCGAATTTCAAAATCCACTGTGAAAACTTTGAAACATCAACATAAAAGTCCCACCTTATGTTGTTTAGAAATCCTTGTATAAAGTTTTACACACTATGCTGGTTAATAATCAACATCTTGTAATACAACGGTATATATACGTGTATTAATATGTTCCGAAACAGCCCTGATTTATCCAAAACCGCTTCGGATTAGGTGACGGGGCCAGCTTCAGTTACCATGGAGATCAGATGGTTCAAAGTGGGCTTACTTCCAGATTCAGCAAACTACCGTCTCTCGGACTTTTCTCTGTTCTTATGTGTTTTTGATCAACATACAAAAAATAATTAAAAAAAGTCAGGATATAAGGTTTTCGGAGGGTAAAAATCAAAATAATTCAAAATTACTTCACCGCCGTTTTGGACGTGTGTACACAAGCGGCAAGCTGCACGGTGTGGGGCAGAGAGAACTTCTGGGTCAGACCACTTGTCAAAATGAAATAATCAAAAGTAAGCGCTCATCTTTTTTTTTTTCCACTTTCGTTTTGTGCACGTAATTGCAAATTGGTTCAATAAACGAAAAACGAAAAAAACAAGTCGATTTTGTTTTCTTCCTTTTATGTTTCAAACGAAAAAACGAACTGCCTGAATGTACACGGACCTTGCGAGCAGCTGGCTTCACGGTGGAGATGGTTTGACGTTTTGACTTGTTAGACGAGCAGCAAATGAGATGCCCAGAAATGTTTAGAGACCTCACCTCAAAGGGGAAGTGTAGTTATTTAGTTTGCCTTTTCTTATTATGGTCCTGACCATTATTTTCCTCCCTGCTCTGGGATAAACCATATAACATGAGCTACAGAGCGCTGAGGCCGCCGCAGCCACACTGCGGCCAGCCGTAACGCCATATAGTTCTAACTACTTGATAAGTATACAGGCACTTCTGCCAGGAGCCTCTTGCTCGGTAAATGCTGGTTGCCACTTTTAGCCGCCCTTCATTGTTTCTGATTGTGTTTGTGTGAAGTTCAGCTGTAATCAATCAGAATGTCTCAGTCTGTAAACAAAGACTTTGTCTATTTAAGGTCATCAAATAATGACGGGTTTCCATCAGTTAATCACTTCTCACCTCCGTCTCTCTCCAACAAGGAAGTCTGCTCGACTCTATAAATGTTTGCGTCCAGTAAAAGGCCCATAAATGACATGCTTGTACAGGAGCAAAGTCCTTTTCACGGCCACGTTTATTTTCGTTGTGGCTGAGCACGCTCGTTTGTGCCACAGCGATGACTGAGCCCTTGTGTAAATTACAAAGTGAAGCTGGACTATGGTTGCGCGGCTATTCTCTGGGAGAGGTGGTGGCGAGGAGGGAGAAAACAGATCTGAGGCCAGAGCAGCATGGAAAATGCAGAGATTGCTTTTGATAAATATACAGCGTGGACTCTGCATTTTCAACCTAATGTGCGGAAAAGAGACTTCTAGCCTTTGATTTGAGTTTTTATATATATATATATATATATATATATATATATATATATATGTAGTGCTTTTAAGTTGGAATTGAGAATAAAATATTTATGAGTTCCAAAAACTGTAATGTGCTGCTACAGACGCAGTGACGAAGGTCCACAGTTTGATTCTTTCTATGTGGAGTTTGCATGTCCCTCTCTTGTGTTTTCTCCCGGGACTCATGGGTTTCACACAAAACATGGATGTTAACTCATTCAGTGACTCTAGTTTGACCTCAGAATGAGTGTGCACACTTACACAGTTATGCTCAAGTTGACTTTTTGTTTTTAAACCATACTTAATGAAGAAATAGAAGTGACTTTTGTTAGCCTCAGTCAAACTATGTAATGCCTTGTTACTCAATAGTACTAGCCCCCACCCAAAGACTCACCCTTCTATATTTATCGTGTAGGAATTTGGACTATTTAAGATAAGATAGAACTTTATTTAGTAAATAAAACCAGTAGTTTTGCGTTTTGAAGTGGAGTTCAGTGGAAATATGAACAAATAATATCAGGCTAACAGTTAGCTAATGGCTAATCTGAGCATGGCTGACACCAAGGACGTTTGCTTCCATCTTCAAACAGAGCTAATACCAAAAATATTTTTACTGGTTCATGCAAACACTATTTAATGAACATTTCCACATTTGTCAGTTTCACTTGTTATACAGTAGTCCCTCAGGTATCACAGGGGTTATGGTCCACACACCACCGCGACAAGGTGAAAACCCGCGTAGGAGGAACACTATATTTATTAATATTTTAAGGCTTTATAAAGCCTTCCCACATGTTCTAAACTCAAACCAATGTCATTTTAACAACATGCATATATGTACTGTACAATACTGCAAAATTTTACTCACTAGCTCTGCAGACTAGCTGCTCGGTTCTGGTTCTGCAGACCTACTCTGCAGCGACGAAGCCCATCGCCTCGTCCAGGTTGGTGTACGCGTGGATAATTGAGCTTCAGGATTATTTGCGACTTTCCTGCCAGTTCTGTGAGCTGAATAGACAGCGTAGATTTGCATTGCAAAACTTTCCCTCCATTTCGGCAGAAAGCAGCGGCCGGAAGCACTTTTGGCTTCTGGGTAGTGTAGTTCTTTTGACTGGTGTTACAGCGTTGGCTTATTGAAAGAAAACTACAAAATGGCGGCACCTGTCCGAAGTATTTTTTTGTTAACTTTTTATCCCGTACCGTCCCACTCACATGAGTAATATTAAAGTTGACAATCGCAAAAGAGCGAGTCCGCGAAAGTCGAACTGCGAAGTAACGAGGAACTGGCGGAAAATATCTGCTTGATGTGTCTCAAGCTGTACCGAAAGTCTCATAGCTTGCTACTTCCATAATGAAAATATCTATGTAAATGACAACGTAATTCAAACAGAAATGTTAAAGTTAGGGCAACATCTTTTACGATAAACAACCGAAACAGTCTCCACCTGCTGGCCATCAGAAGGACTGCACGACTAAGGTGCTAGCATATGGCTTCACGAATTAGACATGCAGATATATCATTTGCAGTCTGTAAGAATATCTTTGGCAAAACTAAACATTAACGTTGTTATTTCAGCTGCATCAGGGCTCATTAGCAGAGAACCACAGAAGTATTAAGAAAAAACCCGAGAACATCAGGAATTTACCCGAAAAAGCAATGATAGAGAACAAATTGCTATTGCTATTCGCAGAATAAGCCATAATATTGCACAAAAAATGTTTTCTAAGCAAGAACTGCGTTATTTATGTCTTAACAAAGAGTTTTTGGTTCCTTGCAGTGTTTCCACGTGCCTTACTCCGCTCTCACCATGTTCCTCAGCACAGACCAGAAGGAAAGAGACTCAGCCACTGCTTACCGTAAGATGTTACATTGTTATTCTTTGTGAGGACTTCCTTTTTGGATCTTTGGTGATAAAGTGTTGGTATTGAAAGGTAAATTTTTGCTCGTGTGATGACAGGAATGACAATGGAGGTGCTGGGGACTCTGGTGGGCGCTGCCATCCAGGGCCAGATAGTGGCCAGTGCTCACACTCTGAAGCACTGCCCCACTCACAACATGTCTGCCGGTTACCTTGGAAACAGCAGCGGGGCAGAGATCGTGAGGAGCCTGGTGCACTCGCAGGACTACCTGTCACACGCTGTAAGTGTCTCTCTGCCAGCCCAGATGCCCAGGTGTGCTAAAAATGGAAGGTCCAGAGCTGGTTTGAGAGTAACGAGGGCTGTCACTTCAGAGATGTGGTGTGTGCTCAAGGTGGCGTACTTTTGGAATAAAATGGAAACGCACACAAGTTGTTAAAAAATAGGACCGTGTCGAATGAAAAGAAAGATTGTTCAAAACTGGCTCCGCATTTATTGACTGACTACGAGCTCTGACGTTTAAAATTTACACGCGTTGTAACCCGTGTAACCTGTGAGGCTAAAAGTAGACGTAGACGTTTGATATCTGAACCCCGAATTCTGGGCCTGCTCCCAATTTATGACCACAAAGGGGGGGTCCCTCACATCAGGCTCCAAACGCAGCCCTAATGAACTGTGGGGTGTTCACGGTCTGCAAATCATTAGGCCTATTTATGTTTCACCCAGAACATTTGAAGGCACCTCAGATATATTGATCTTTCCCCACACGGTAGTTGAAAGAAAAGGGACATGATTGGAAGCAGACACGTTTTTTGTTAATCGAGCCATGAATCTCTTGAGAATCCCCCATGGGAACTTTTGTACAGATGAAACTGTTCGACCGCAGCTCGTTGGCTTTCCAATGCTTCTTTTCCCAATGGGTTTTGGGTGAACCCTATCAGGGTCACCACTTCACGGCTCCAAACCCTCACCGCCAAATCCCCCCACCCGCGGATGCTGGTGAGGGTGGCACACCGTCTGGGTAAACTCTGTCTGCCCTCGAAAACAGGGAGTGTTCGCTGTGCAGAAATAATAATGAACCGCCGGGGACGAGTGCATGGGAATAAAATAACTAACAAACAAACAGAGGTTGTTTAAGGCAGAGCCATTCCTGTCAGCCATGAAACTGTTCCGTTTGTATTTTTGGAAACAAATCGGGCTGAGGTTTCTTCCTATTACCGTGAAACACACTGTGCTAACCAGACAAGCTATAAATCATCTTCCCTGAGTAATGGAATGAGGGAGAGCTGAACTAAACGTATAAACTAACACCTCTGTTTCTCTGATGAATAGATGTATATCGTGTTGAAATTAGTCTTTTTTTTCAGGCACTGGAGAACGTTATGAATTAAAGATTGTAGGATGTCTCAGAATACACTTGATTATGCTGCTTTTGTGCGTAGGGATGGATGGATGTAGGTCATGCTGAATGTTTGTTCTTTTCCTCTGTAGAAGGAGATGTACATGACAGCTGCTGGCGTGATAGGAGGCGTGTTCCTTATCTGCACCGTGGTGATGTTCCTGGGAGTCAGAGAGAGAGACGGTGAGACATTCGAGAGCAAGCATCGCACCCAATACACGATTTATTAACATACTTCGACTTTTTAACTTGACTGTCTTTTGAATTAGACGAGGGTCACGTTATTTTAAATGAATATATTTTCTCTATTAATGAAAAAAAAACAACAACGGATTTTAACAAACAAGCTGTAATATTTATGTTGCACCAATAGGTGGTGTGTAGGACATTTTTTAGCTCGTGTAAAAAAAAATCACCTGAAACGGTGTATTTTTTTTAAAACAATAATATTAATATCACATCATCACGTATCATGCCACAAAAACACATACCCCCCCTCCCCCACCACCACCACCACCCCCACCATGCACGTAGAAAACGATTAAACATAAATATCCACTTTAAAAAGTCTGTATTCTTTTATTTGTATTTCAGTATTACTAACCAAAAACTATGGCCCTGTCTACACTACTATGGATATAATTAAAAATGGATATTTTTAAACAGCACTTTCACTTCCTGTCCATACACAAAAGGTGTAAAAACACACAAAAAAAGAGTCTTAAATACAAAGTTTTTAAAGCTCTGTTTTGATGGTCCAGAGTTGTGACTATTGACAAAGTAGCAGTTTGCACACAGGTATTTTGTGTCATTGAAACCAAAACAACAATGGATCAGTTTTTATCAGAATTCATCCTGTTCTTGTGATTATTAAACTTTGACCCTGTGCTGAAATGATCGATAACATAGAGGCAAAGATAGTGACCCAAGTACTTTGGTGCATAGAACATGTGATTAAAGTACAAATGAATGAATTCAGTAAGTCAGGTGGTTTCTTTTCCAGCTAAGTGAACTTTTTGTAAGTGTGGTTCTGTGGAAAGGTTATGAACAATTAACATCTTACCTGTTGTAGATAGCTCTTTAAACTAGTTGTTTAAAGAAATAGTTTACTCTGATAGACTGACAAACTAACATGCTAATTTTAGCAAGGCCAAAACCCAAGTGGGTTCTTGCAGTTTTAAAATAACTTGTTTGTTTAAATAATTTTGTTTTATAAATCTTTACATCTCTGTCGGTTTCACATATGGTTATTTACGTAGCATTCTGTTTTTATTTTTACAAACACAGTGACAGCAGCAGCTAGCTGACTCTTTCAAACGGAATGTCAATATTTTTGCTGGATCATCCGTCCGTCCGCCCGTCCGCCCGCCCGCCCATCCATCCATCCATCCATATACACCATCCCTCCAGCAACTTCTGAGTCTTCCACGGGCCTGCTACCAGTGGGACATGCCTGGAAAATCTCTAAAGGAAGGCGTCTAGGAGGCCTTCTAATCAGATGCCCAAACCACCTCAACCAACTCTTTTTGATGTGGAGGAGGGGAGGCTCTACTCTGAGCTCCCTCTGGATGACAGAGCTCTTCACCCTATCTCTAAGGCTGAGCCTGGCCACCCTATGAAAGCAGCCATTTTCGGCCGCTTGTATCTGGGATCTCCTTCTTTCAGTCATGGTCCAAAGCTCATGAGCATAGGTGAGGAGAGGAAGGTAGACAGACCAGTAAATCAAGAGCTTTGCCTTTCAACTTAGCTCTTTCTTCACCATGACTGACCGAAGCAATGCCCTCATGACTGAAGATGAGGCACCTATTTGTTGATCCATCTCTCATACCATCCTACCATCACTTGTAAAGACTTCCAGATACTTAAGGGCAAGAAGTGTGATTCCCACAATATTTGGAACACACCTTCCGGCCCCACTTTTTAAAAATGGTAATGGATTTGTCTTCTCCCAAGTCCTCAGACTCTACCTCCTCAAATGTGGACATGTTGGGTGTATTAAGGAGATCCTTGAAGTGCTCCTTCCACTGCTCAACAATATCCTCAGTTCAGGTCAGCAATTCCCCACCCAAACCAAACACATCATGGGATAGATTTGCCAAGCTGTTTGCCAGAACTTCCTCAAGGCTGACCGAAAGTCCTTCTCCATGGCCTCTCCAAATTCCTCCCATGCCCAAATTTTTGCTTCTGCAACCTCAGAAGCTGCAGTTCTTCTGCACCCTGTAACTGTCAGCTGCTTCAGAAGTCCTCTGGAACAACCAAGTACTGAAGGCCTCCTTCTTCAGCTTGATGAACTCCCTCACCACTGGTGCCCACGAGCAGGTCCTTTGGTTGCCACCTTGACAGGCATCAGTGACCTTCAAGCCACAGCTCCCGTAAATCACATATGCAACAGAGGCCCTGAACATGGCCCATGTGGATTTCATGTCCCCAACCTCCCCCAGGATGTGGAAAAACTCTCCTGGAGGTGTGAGTTGAAAGCTGCATAGATCTAGGGCTCCACCAGACATTCCCAATGCGTTTGAGTTTACCAGGTCTGTTTTGGCAACCTCCCCCGCTACAGGATCCAATTAACCACCAGGTGGCGATTGTTGACAGCTCTGCCTCTCTCTTTGTCCGAGTGACCAAGACATAGAGCTGCAGGTCTGATGACCCGATTACATAATTAATCATTGACCTTTGGCCTAAGGTGGCCTGATACCACATACACTTATGAACCACCCTATGCTCTAACCTGGTGTTTGTTATGGACAAATCATATCGCAATAGTAATAGCAAACACCACTGAGGTTCAGATCAGGGAGGCCATTCCTCCCAATCACCCCCTTCCAGATGATTGCCCATATGTACATAGAAGTCACCCATTAGAATGAGGGAATCCCCAGATAGCACCCCTTCCAAGACACAATCCAGAGACTCCAGAAAGGCTGGGTAATCTGAGCTAATGTTTGGTGCATAAGCACAAACAACAGTCAGAACCTTCCCTGCTGCAGGGAAAGCCACAGATAAATAACACTCTCATTCACCAGGGAAATCTCCAACACTGAGGCATTCAGCCAGGGGCTTGTGATTAACACCATACTCACCCGACACCTCACTCCCTGGCATCTTCATAGTAGGAGAGAGTCCAGCCTCTCTCCAGAAATTGGGTTCCAGAGCCCAAATTGTGCATAGAGGTGAGCCCAACTATATCTAATTGGTAATGCTCAATCTCACACACAAGCTCTGGCACCTTACCCAGCGAGGTGACACTCCATGTCCCTAGATCTCGTCTATGGCACCAGGAATCTGCATGGCCAGAGACCCTCCCTTGCCTGCTGCCCGACATGCACAGCACCTGACCTTGACGGACCTCCTCGCAGGTGGTGGGTTCACTAGAGGTGACTTCCTGTTATTATTTTTGGGCTTGTTCTGACCGAGCCCCAGGAGCCAAGGCTTGACCATGAGGCACTCACCGGTGAGCTCTCACCCCAGGCCTGGCATCAAGTAGGTGCCCCGGTTTCCCTTTTCCGGGTGAGGTTTCCTGATGTAACTGTTGTTTTACTAATGCCAGTGTAAATATGAATAAAATAGCATTTTCAGTAATCCACTTTGGTCTTGACCTCACTAAGGCTAGCAGTTAACGCATCAGTCTGGTCAGAATTAAACTTTATTTACTCATGCTGAGGTAATTCAAAAAGCAATCTCCAACAAGTAAGATACTGTTCATAACTTTGTCCCAGAACATCAAAAGTTATAAACCTTCTCTTTCAACTCCTTTTTTTTTCTGCAACTAAATGTTTATCGCACTATAAACTGTGTCTCTAAGAGAGATAAACAGCATTTACTGCAATGCAGGGGCACTTCCAGTAGCCCGTGAGCAAATCCATTGCTTTCCCTTGCCTGCATGTAATTTGATATACTGCACTCATATATATTTATTCCACATCTTTCAGATCCATACGCCCCAAAGACAGAGAAGCAGATTCCTTTCCATCAGGGTTTCATCCTGGTGATGAGACATGGTCCGTACCTCATCCTGACCGCTGCCTTCCTCTTCATCACCGTTGCAATTCAGGTAAATGTATTCTTGGACATGACGCGCTGTTACAGTTAAAGAGAACAGCCCTTCATCCTGACAGCCCTGTGCTCTATGCTGATTTGATAAACAAATAGTGTTTAATGCCCATTTTGAGTTTAAGGCCTTTTGGGATCAATATCAGCAGATTTGGGTCCTCAGCTTTACAGTCATTTAACAAATTTCCAAGTTTTTGCAATTGATTTCTTTCCTAAGATCATCTCAGCTGAGGTGGCAGCTGTGATCCGTGTTGAGACTCGGAGTGGGAATAAATCAAAGCCCAACGCAGTCAGCAGCTTCTCCGGTGCCTTCATTTAGCACTCAGCGTGGCAGGCTGAGTGCTGACTAGACAAACACTGCCCATCTGAATGTGCTATCTCCCATTCCTGCAGCTCATCCAGAGCAACTTTGTCCTCTTCTGCACTTACGCTGCCGACCTGAGGGATCACTTCCAGAACATCGTGCTGACCATCCTCGTGAGTCACCAGATTCAACGCAGAAAAATACATAAACACAGTTGTATAAGTAAAAATGTATTAATATTTAACTTTGGCTCTCAAAATTGCGTGTTTGATTGTTTTTTGGTTATTTTCGGTGGGAATGAATTGCTTTGAATGAAATATACATTTGCATATTTGCCACAAGTTTTTTAACATTTCAGTTACTGTTAGTTGTTGTCCCAGATAATCTCGTGATTTATGTTCCCACACAGGTTTCTGCAGTAATAAGCATCCCACTGTGGCAATGGTTTCTGGAGAGGTTTGGGAAGAAGACGGCAGCTTTTTGTGGCATCACTGTGAGTGTGCTGTTTTTATTTCAGCTCTGACAAACTCTAAAAGTTTGCACCACTTGGTGGATGGATGAAGAATGGCCATTCACATTTATATCAAGAACATTAAACACACACAAAAAAGATCAAATATGGCAAACAAAATTGAACTCCTGTCCCTTTTTGTTTGTCTTTGTAGTGGATCATGCCGTTCACCATGATGCTGGTCTTCATCCCCAATGTGGCGGTGGCTTACGTTGTGGCGGTTTCCTCTGGACTCAGCGTAGCTGCATCGCTGCTTCTGCCGTGGTGAGGCATTAAAATGCCCCGCAGATCACAAAATCACTCATTTATATTAAAAATCTTTGAACATTCCTTGTACATCGCACTAAACTAAGTTAATGTTTTGTTGAGAAATGTTAGTCAGAGTTGTTTTGGCCAAACCTGATGATGTTCTGTAAAATCTCTACGGGTTGTGAATGACTCTCAGCTGCTGCCACATCAACTTTGAGCTCGGTATTTGTGAAACTTAAGTTATAGCCATGTTGTACATTTGGTAAGCTGTGGCGACCACAGCTGTACATCTAAAGGTAACATGGTGACTTGGTGGCCCGGTTCATGTTCTGGTCATGAAAGTGATGTCATTGAAATGAATCAGAGGAGGCGCATGCTGTAGATCTATCATACATCACAGGGTTCCAGAGGAATCTTTACATCTGTTTGCTTTTATGGCTGTCACCCCTCCCTCAAATTACAGCCTCCCGTGGGGGCATGTTTACTTTAGAAGCGGACGGTTGTTTTTCCTATTTGTGGGCGAGGGACAGTGGTAGCGCCTGCTGCTCTTCATCTAATCGTGTTATTAGCTCTGTAATTTAGCCCAGCAGTATATCAGAGCTCCTGGAGTTAGCAATCATCTGCTGGCATCTTCACTGAGTTTTGCAGGAAATTAAAGTAAGCGCATTAGGGAGGTCTAAGAGGCACATCGGCTTAAAGTTTCACAGCACGTCGCAGTGAGGTTGGGCGTATAAGGGAAAGGACATATGTGCGCAAAATTCACTCATTCATCTCTGAATGCGTATGTGTGTTTGTGCAATCCAGGTCCATGTTGCCAGATGTGGTCGACGACTTCAGACTGGCCAACCCTTTCTCCAAAGGTCATGAAGCCATCTTTTACTCGTTCTACGTCTTCTTCACCAAGTTTGCTGCGGGGATCTCCCTGGGAGTGTCCACGCTCTGCCTAGAGTGAGTTTTTAATCCTGTCAGCTCGACTCCAGACCTCAGCCCGACTGAAACGCGCCGCGGCATTCTGGTTAGGTTATGATCTGGATGTTAAACGAGCCTTCACAGCGCTGAGCTTAGGATCATGCGGCGTTCAAATTCAAGCCACTTTCAGCTGACACCTGACTTCATATTTGACCTTAGAATACATTAGTGAGGCAATGATTGGTTTAATGATGGCGTTGTGCTCTGGTCCTAAAGCTGCAAAACAAGCCCAAATCATCACACTAACACCACCATGCTTGACAGTTGAAGTGTTGGTGCGTGACCAAACATCTCAACTTTAGTCTTTATTCAAAAGACGAGCTTGCTCCTGGAAAATAATTGAAACTTTTACCATTTAACGTGCTAACTAAGGCTGCTAGAGTGAAAACAAACACTTTTTTCATTTATTTATTTGCATTTTTTTTAGTTTCAGTTTGACCTCAAGATGAACTTGTTGGGATTAACTAAAATGAGAAACCATAGTAGTTTAAGATAAGACTAGCAGCAACAAATCCTTCTTTAAGATTCTTGCTGGTGTTGTGTCTTTATGTCTTTGTGCTAACTCATCTTCCTGTGGCAGGTCAGCCTCTGCTGTTCTCACACATACTGATGACCAGTTAAGCCAGTATCTCATTGAGCTGGGCTGCGACCGTTAGTGAAAAATTGCAAATGACATTCATGAGAGTTTCCAAAATGTCTTGAAATGTTAACGAAGATTTTTAATTCCATTGCGTGAGTTGTGGGCCCTCGATTTTGTAGCACAGGATTTTTGAAGAATTAAAAAAAAATTGTGAGACATGTTTTCTTAGAAAATAGTCATTGCAGGCGTCTGGAACCCTTCTCTGTTCGATTTTTGTAACTCTAGACTGCTGGAACTGCATTTTGTGACTCCAGCAGTCACGACCAGTGAGATACTACCTTAACCTTTATGAGTATAATCAGCAACATCTGGCTGCTACCATTTACTTCCATGGAAGCACTAAGGGTTTATTACTCAATTAACAAATAATGGCAGTGAAACTCATAATGCATTGCTGTCTATCCGAGGCTATATTTACATACTTACAGAACTTTATAGGAACCAAATGGCATTTATGTACTTTTAATATGCAAATCATTTAACATAAAAGTAGTTGCACTATCTATTTCACGATTTACCTACAAAGTTTTTCATCATGTAGCCTCAGTGTCCTCAAACGGTGACATTAATCTGTTAGATGGTGTGGATTTTGTTTTGCAGCGCCTGCCTCTGTCGGTTTACCATGTCTTGTTTGCATGTTTGTGTGCACGCAGGTTTGCAGGGTATGACACCGGCGCCTGTAAGCAGCCTGCTCCTGTAGTGTACACCCTGAAGCTGCTGATCGGTGCCGCACCTGTAGCCTTCATTGTCACGGGGTTACTAATCCTCCTCCTGTATCCCATCAACGAGGACGTACGGCTCAGGAATAAAGTCCACCTTGAGGAGCTACGGTGTGTAGAAATCATTAACGGACATCTGAGAGGAAAAGTGTAGCTCCTCGACTCTGCCTCACACATCGACCTCTAAACTGTCACAAACAGCTGTAAAAATGATCTATATGCCTCTGTGATATGGTAGCACTATGAAGTAGTAATGTGACGCTCAAGTACAACACATTTGTGTGTAGTTTGACGTTTTATTTATTTTTTTACATTTTGACATTGTTCAGGGTGAACTTAAAACTGTTAAAAAAATACTCTGCAGTGATGAAGCTATTACAACTTTCTTTCTCATTTCACTAATTTCCTAAACAACAAGATCTTTTAAAGCGGGGTTCTGTGGGAAGGCATGACTAATTATATTAAATGTTATAGATAGCTGTTTGAATAAACTGAAATTTGGAGAAATTAAGTTTAAACCTGACCAAAAATTGCAAGCTAACCGCTAGACCAAGTGGGACTAAGATAGAAGTGGACCGCTCCTGTTTTACAACACTTTAACAACAACAAAAAGAAAAGAACTTGCTTATAAACCTTTAGATAATCGTTAATTTCATATTTTAAGGTTATTCAGGCAGAAATATTATGATTCTCTTGTTAAAAGTGCACCAGGCTGCATGGGCTAAAGCTAGCTTGTGCTGCTGCAAATAAACACAGATTACACCAAGTAAATGAGCTGTAATAAAAAAACTGACTGCAGAGTAAAACTTTACACGTGTTCAAATTATGAACTGGTTGAAATTAGTGGTATTTTGAAGACGTCAGCAATTCACTTTGTTCTTTGCTCCGCTCTAGCTAGCCTTTAGCTCGCCAATCCCGTCAGAATTATTTTCCAAGCTGGAGTTGTTCAACAAATTATCTACAATAAGTTAACTGTTCATAATTGTCTATGGACCTTCACTTCAAAAGATCTGAGCCATCGTTTGGAAATTTAGAAACAAATTTGAGAAATTCTTGAAATGATGCAATTAGCTCAGCCTCAACTCTTCCTGGACAGCTTCTTTTTGGATGCTTTTTTAAAACTTTTATCAGAAACCTGCCAACTCTACCAATGTATGTATGTACGTACCAATGCCCTTTTTAAAAAGTTTTTTCTATAAATGTTTCACTTGGTTAAATCTAGGCCCAAGACGTTCATGTAGGGTTTATTCAAGCCAATCACTCTACCTCCGTGGTGTCCTTTGGAACTCAGTGGTTCCCAACACTGGTCCTTGAGGAACACCATCCTGCATGTTTTAGTTGTTTCCCTGCTTTGACACACCTGATTCAGTGATTTAATTACCTCATCATGTTCTGCAGAAGCCTGGTCATCACACATTTATTAAAATCAGGTGTGTAAAAGCAGAGAAACAACTAAAACATGCAGGATGGTGTTCCTCAAGGACCACGGTTGAGAACCCTGCTTTGGGTCAATGTTTTATTGGAACACAAATTCTGATCCCTAACTGTGGGAGAAAAAGAATAATTCCATATTTTTATGCATGCAAGCTTCTACTCTATCTGGATTAGCCTCAAAGCCAAAAAAGCACCTTCACAGCTGCTAACATCTCCATGTTTGACTTTAGGAATTGTCAAAGGACTGCTTGGTTGCTTTCATGCATATTGTCTTCCAGGTGTTTGTGTCATCAAAACAGAGCATTGTTTTCTGTCTTTTTGGGAACTGTTCCAAGTGTCTGTGGGGAAATTTCTAAATCAGCTTTTTTTTTTAACTTCAGTAATAGCTTCTGTGAACTGATAAATGTTCTGGAAAATTCTCCAATAACCACAAAAGAGCTGAATAATGCATTAGTCTCCTAGTTGCTCGCTTGACAGACACTTTATGTCCGTTACAAACTACCATAATTCGATTGTGATGGTTCTGTACAGAAGACAACAGCAATATTTTTTTAATTTGTAATCTATACATCTGTGCCTGGACATGATCCTCATACGTCATACAATTATACACCAACTATGTGAGCTTGTTATGCTTCAAAATGCATCGATTACTGGGCTGGTGGACAAAATCATCAGATTTTGAGGGCTCAGAAAAACAGTTTTATGGTTTGTGGATAATTTGTATTAGTTATAGCTTTTCTTTGATGTAGAAGGTTTTACTGAGTGAAAACTCAAAGTTAGCCATTTGTAGTACAACATCTAAATGGGTAATAATGAAGTCAGAGAAAGCACAACAGATAATAGAAGCAGCTAAAAGCAAACATGGATCTTCTGCTACGTTTCCATGTCTGCTGCTCTGATGCAGTATATTGTTTATAGTACCGGTATTTGTGCTGTTATCTGGTGTACTTTTATGTTTTAAAGGGTGTAAAAGAAAATCTATGGAGCTTTAAGCAGTCTTTTAAAAGCAATATAAAACTATTATTTTCCAACTATATTGTACAAATATCTCTGCGTATGAACTTGGGAGAATGATTTTTACAAGTTTATCTAAATATCTTACCATGCAGCAAAAATTTCAATTCCATCATTAATTTTTTTAAATAACTTTTTGTTTTAAACGCAGGCATACTTTGTAAAAAGTACCATATTTTATGCCGTATAGGTCGCACCTTTTGCATAAATTTGCAAGTCCTGCGACTTATACACAGAAGTGACTAATATACATTTCACCCATATTTATAACCCAATTTTTTTCTGAGAGCAGACGATTTCATTCATTCTGACATGGAAACTATTGAACACTACCATTTTCAGATGCTAGAGGGCCCTCGACTAATATGGCAAGCCAAGTGTCTCATTATCAGGTAAAAGTGGCTATTAATGAGACACTGGTTTGCCATACAAAGCCACCTTCGTCTTGCTCCATAACTCCTGGAGCAAACGTCAAATCAGCTGCATTTCACCGCACCACCCAGGTGAAATGCAGCTGATTTGACTGTCAAAGTACATTTACCAAGGTAAAGTTCAACTGAGACACACATTTACTATAATTTCGCGCAAACAAAAACAAGTGTAAATCTTGTTAAATTCTTGTTAACGTCCTCCCGTGCACGCTCACACGGCCGCCATTTGGCAGCCAATTGAATTTTGGCACAACACAGACCCACATTTCCGGCTTGTCAGCGGTGACGCGTAACAAACGCGATGCGTCAGCATTGATGCACAATTATGTTTTTTTCCATGTTATTTGGCATATTTGGACTGATGCGACAGTAAGTACGGTACTTGCATTCCTTGTTCAATTCCAGTCCAGAAAAACACTCATCTTGAAAACTACATTCACCTTTCAAAGCCTTCAGTGACAGGGTACATCGATGTACTGCTTGTTTTCAGTACAGCTAAATACCAATAAAAACCATGACTGGACAGCATGTCTAAATCAGACTCTTGTTTTTCAGACATTCCAGAGGATCTGTTTTACAAACCCAACAATCAGTACTCCGAGAAGCAGAAAGAGTTTGCACAGACGCTGCACCTTTACTCACCAAAAGCGTACGACTTTGTCAGAGAAGTTTTGCCCTTGCCCGACCCTCGCTCTCTACGAAGGTACAATGTAGCTGCTTGTAATGGAGCGTGCCAGTGACACTTGTTACTACAGACTTTAACATAATCTGTGTGTGAAAATCGTTCATCGGTTACATAATTTAACATGTGCTTATTATTATTATTATTATTATTATGACTGAAGGTGGGTGGAGAAGGACCAAGGTTCAGAGCCTCATTCTCCTTCATCCAGCTGAAGACTTGTGGTGGGCTTATCATGGCGTCTGAGGGAGGAGTTACCGTACGGAGGTGATCTGAAGTGCATCTCTGAGAGCCTTGGCTGGAGTCTGTCGGTGCGAGCCAAGCTGAGCAGGACTGTAGAGTCCTCGAACCATGAACTCTGTGAGTGTATATGAACTATATGATGTTTGTTTTATTAAAGTCGCGTTGTGTGAAAGAACATGGAGTTTAAGCTGTGACGAGGCTGGACTTGTTAAATAGCGCGCCTGTGTATTAAAGCGTGTAAAAACAGAACAGTGCCACAGGGTGTCATTATGCACAGTAATTTGGTTTTTTGGCAAAACTTGTCTAGTACACTGTATTTTTATACTCATTCTCCAGATTACACTGATACGTATGTAATGCAGGGCCCTGAGAGTGAGGCTTTATATTTTTATTAGAGCCACTAAGAAGAAGGGGGAAAAAAAAGAAAAGGTTTTTATTTATTGTATTTTTGTAGAATCAAATGTAAATATTGAATTATATTTTACTGACAGGAAAAAGTCACAGTGTTGAGTGAAATCTGTTACAAGACGTCAGCAGGTGAGCCTCTCTGTGCTCCTGAAACGGACTGCTTTTGTTTATTTGTAGGTTCTTATCGTATCGGAGGGTTACCAGTGCCCTTCCACTGGAACCACTACAACATCACATGCAATACTTTAGTAGAAGTGGTTCAGAATGCTGCAGCAGGACTCCCAGAGCTGATCGGTCCTTCACAATAAGAAATTCAAACACTTCGCGGAGTATTGACGTCTAAATGCGCCTTTTTCTTAGGTTAGAAGTCGACACGATGAAAAGGACAATACGATGCTTTATTTTGATGTTAAATGTTTAACATGTTCAAATAAATTTGAATTTCAATGTTTCTTAGATGACTGATTGTTTCCTTTCATCTTTCATTTAGTGAAGCAGCAAAAAACTTATTTTGCACAAGAATTGTGTCAAATGTGACACGAGCACCAAATTTGTCACGGTCGTCCCCACGAGTCTTCTGAACAACTCAGCCTGATGCCATTGTTCAAAATGGCCGACAGAATTATTGTTAGTCCTGGTAACTGGAGGTGGACTCATGTGGCAGGTCTTAGACCACTTCCACCAGTTGCCATAAGTGAAGATGATGACGAAAGATTCATTGACGACAGAACGCAAGGGTCTGAACACAGTACATGCCATATTTATTCAAGAGTTGGTCAGGAAACTTACAGTAGTAATGGCTCTTTATGGGTGCTGTACAGTACTGGGGTCAACACTTGCAGTGAATGTGCATACAGGTTATAAAACTGAAAAGTAAAGGGCCCTGCATACTCCATCCGAAGTGGAGAAATCGGCTCTCGGTGTAGCTGCGTGATGAGAATCATGTCATTTTGTTGTCAGAGTAGCTTTGCTCGCCCGTTCTCGACACAAGGCCCGGCCTCAACTTTTTCTTGCAGGCGTATGCGCTGAGCGTCGTGTGATCGGTGAGAAGTTTCCAGATGTTTGTCAGTGCGTAAATGCTTGGGACATTCAGCTGTACAGACTCTTCAAACGTAGTCAAAAAGCTCCTGGATGGAGATCGTGCAGACATCGTGTGTGGAGCAGTCTGCTGAAAAGTGTGGCGCGCTCTTCTTGATGGCTTTGTGGACAAACAGCGGACGCAGGGAGGGTGGAGACTCTGGAGGGAAGCAACCCGTGCGGTGACGTGTACTGCAGCGGGAGCCGTGTCCCAGGAGCTCTGCGCCCGTGTGTCGTGGACGCGAGTCGACTGCTCGGCTTCAGACGGAGTATGCTGGGCTCTCTACGCTCACTGGGAGCATTCACCAGGACAAGCCTTCATCAAAGTGGTATAATGGCCAGCTGTACAGAGCAGGGGTGTCTGGAACATGTTGGTTCCCAGTCCTGTTGCTCAAACTGTAAGGCCGTTCAGATCGCAGTGCATTATTGAGTTTCATCTGCTTAAAAGAGCTTCTGACAAAATCTACAATGGATGAACGTAAAAAGGATGAACAGAAACTAACCTGAGTGAGGCTCAAAAGTCTTGTGACTATTCTGACAGGATGGCAGCAGAGCAGCAGAAGTGTCATTTAAATAGTGAACTGAACGAAACGGTAGAAATCAAAGGGAAAGAAAAGTGGTGGGTTGACGGGGGGAGGCAGCAGCTGGGTATGGTCTCCCTGTAGGGACAGGACGTGGTGAGCGCAGCCTTCCATCTTTGTGTTGTGGAGCAGGCCGTCACTCGAGCTTCAGCAGTTCCACATCAAAAATAAGCGTGGCGTTTGGTGGGATGACCCCAGGGTGGCCTGTCGCTCCATACGCCATATCTGGTGTGCAGGTGATTTTAGCCCTCTGACCCAGGCTCATCTGAGGCAACAAAGAAAACATGTCTGAATGTATAATTGTGCCTTTTGGATTTTATCCCCACACACACACTCATTGAAGTTTAATAAACTGTCACAGAAAAACAACCTAAAAAAATCTGAGTTATTTTTTTTTTGTCCTCCATTTGTTCTCTGTTGCATCCCAAACTGGAGCAAGCAGGTAGTTTCAATCCAAAATGGAAGATCAATTTCAGAAAAATGTAAATTTATTAACATTATATTGACAGCTTCATGGTGGAACAAACATTTATGATTTCAGACTTACTGTTTAAGAGCAAAATACTTGAAGCACAATAAAGATTTTACAGCACTGAAAGGAGTAAAGTTCCATGTTTTTATATTAGTGTTTCAGTGGGGGATTGAAAGAGTGCGTACAGCTAAATGTGACTGACATCATCTAACCAAGTGTTTTGACAACTGTCAGTGTATCTGTATAAAATTTAACAGCGCAGTTTCTTTTGAGAATAAAACTGAACAGGGTGTCAGCTTCACATGAAGCAAACATCCATCTAGAGCATGAATATACAGCACATGGAATTTAATAAACTATTTATTGCAGTCCAAGCAGAACCGACACAATGTGCACATCATCATTGTCATGTTTTTTATATACTGTGCAGCCACAAGCTGAAGACATGAAAAGTGTCTCAGAAAGACAGAACATGTGCAGAGTGAAGGTGCGAGCCCCAGCCCATTTTAATCCCTGCAGCCACAGTTACTAGAATTAATGACTTGTGTTACATTTGGTTATATGTAATACTCAAATTAAGCCAGTAGGTGTCGCCTTTATTGTTTTCATGTTCTGTAGTCGACAGATGCTTTCACTGCTGTTATTACTTTGTTCATAGATAATTTGGACTTTAGAAACAAACTGCAAGTAATAAACATAATGTTTACTGCATGGAAAACATTTGGGCTGGTGGTTTTAAAACACGTGGTGCAAACACCACCTCAGTAAGTGAAGCCAATATCATCATGCAGCGAAACAGCGGCTTAGCAAAGGGTCAGACTTTTCGAAGGAACTCCACCAAACATGGTTATAAATGTTCCTCTGTGCTCCATTTGTTTCATCACTGAGCTGTCTCTTCCTTCACAGTCAAGTGTTTTACTGAATAGATGGAAAAATCCCAAACGGGAAGATTTTGCTGTCTGAACGCAACTTAAATCCTACCAACTGTAAATATTACTGGTATAGAACAACAACATCTTTCAGTCCAGAGTCATTTTAATATTACTTTAGTTTTTGTTTTTTATTTAGTGGCGAGGTCGTGAACAATTAATATCTTACATGTAGCTCTTTGAACAGCTTGTTTGGAGAAATAAGCGTTTTATTCTTAGAAGTTGATGGTTAGTCTAAGAAGGACCAAGACCTCCGTCAGTCTAAATGACCCCAGATGACTGAAGCCAAGGGCACCGGGAAAAATAAAACACCTCTAAACTCAAAAATGTCATAACTATTCATGCAAACACTATTTCACTGACCTTTGCATCACCATCAATTTCACGTTACACCGTTACTCTTACAGAATTATAATACTAATCCAGCAGGAAGTGTCCCAAGCTGCACTGCAAGTACTACAGCTAGCTGCTGCCGCTGCTGCTAATTACACTTGTGAATTATCTTGGACTTCTGGGTAAATACGTGTTTCGTGTGAAACAGCCGTGTAAAAAGTTTGTCAAACAGTGTTTGCATGAAAAGCTGTAAACTTTGCAGACTTAAAGCAGCAGAGCTACGACAGGTAGGACAGTAAATGAACCTCACTTTAAAATGTTCAAAAAGTTGTGTTTTAATGCAACAACGGTGCCACTGGATCACACGTCCTCCCTCTTACCTGTGCTACTCCTTCCTCCCAGCCCTTGATAACCTCACTCCGTCCAATCTTGAACTTAAAGGGTTTGTTCCTGTCTCGAGAGGAGTCAAACTTTTTCCCGTTCTGGAGCATTCCTGTCAAAAAAAAAAAAAAAAAAACAGCATCATGAGATAAAGTAAAAACTAGTTTTATTTGTACAACTACGATAGCTCTGTACAGAAAACAGCTCCTACTGAAATGTATTAATTTTTTTTATTTATTCTGATGGGGGTTTCTTCTATGGCCAAGCTTCATTTAAGCAGATGAATCAGGAAACACTGGCCTGGTTAAGTGGATTATTTTTAAAGTGAACTGGGTCACCACTTGCCTTTATCTAGACCACAGAGAAAGGACGAACAAGTGCAGACTTCTGCTTCTTCAGGACTCTGATCATTCGCTCAGGCTTTCTAAGAACATCGAGGCCATTAAACGCTCACAGAAAGACAGGGAAACAGTTTCCAGGTGTCAGTTCCCATCCAAGTCCATGTGCTGTCACTGATGACTCGTGAACGTTCAAACTCTTTTGAAAGGCAAGTACGCAAAACATTTAGGTCCTTACAACAGTTTGTGTTCTGTGTTGGTATCTTTGTTGAACAAGAGCAAACAAGACTCGGCGTAAGTTTTAGCTCGGGTGTAGAATATTTCAAAGAACAAACGACTGAGTAAAATGAAAAGACGTCTTTTAAATACGTCTATTGGGTACTAGGTGTGTTTTCGAGCAATGCTTTGTCGTTTTTATTTTTGTTAAGTATCTTGATACTAATCTAAGACATTCAAGCATAAAAGGGAACCACGCCCAAGAGATAAACCCGTGTGTCTGCACAAACCAGACAACTTGGCAAAGAATCAAAAACTGCATCTTTAGCCACTTTGTTACTAGCAGTCACACTTAAAGACTTAATATTTCTTAATTCTTTAGTGGAAATTATAAAAAAAACACCCATCACAGTTTGACACCTACAGTATTTTTTTTTTAACCAACAAAGTTGATTTGAATTGTAAATGTTCATGTTTCTGGATTGAAACTGAACAGAGAATTCAAGTAAATAACGTTTTGGTGCAAGATGTTCAAGCAGGTAGGAGTTACACGGTGCATAAGAAGAGAGGTAGTTTATTTTTTCTTGATCAAGGTGGTGCAGAGCGACAGATCCTGGAGAGCAGACTGAGCAAATTTATCCACCACCAGGTGCAAAGGCAGAGCCAAGGGGTGGCCAGTGGTGGCCTTGACCACCGTAGATTAATCTTTGGCCACCCCAGTCACTTGAGGAAACTACGGTACATTTTTAAGCAATATAAAAACTAAAAAGCATAATTTCCTCAAATGTTTGTGGTGGCAGTTTTACATATATGGTTGTGTCATTCTTAGTTTTGACGTGGGAACCCAATTTTTGAAAGGAACCTTTCTTACACCTAGATGCAGCTACACACCAAAATGGAAGCCGGTATCTTACTTGTTTTTTTAAGTTATTGTGCTTACAACATGTACAGACATATGGACGGAGGGTTTTTCCAGTTCCCCCTTTTTGTTCCGTAATGGGGACAAAAAGAATTATTAGTCAAAAAGTCTGAGTCTTGGGTTTATGTGTCTTTTTAAGGGTCATTAAAAAGCTTAAACACATCTGCTTATCAGAAATGTAAGAAACAAGCATTAGACTGACAATAAGTGACAATCAAGCGTTTTTGTAATTTTAAGTATTTTACAAATACATTAAAATAAAACAGTGTTAGTAGGATTATACTAGCTTTGTTGCCTTAAGAATGAAGCAGTTGTTCTAGTTGTTCTTGATTTAATGGAGTGATATCTTTTCTGATGTCTGGAGATTAGACAACGTTGGAGAGAAGCAGTATTTTGGCACTTTGCCACAGTCTCAACGCTCATCGGTTCCGCACCGCACCAGTTAAGGGCCTTCCCACTGCCGATACTCACCCCCACTGAGAACGGTTTATGGGACCACCTTGTTTGAGGTTCCAAGCGGGCTGCTCAGAGTCCGAGGTGCCGATTTTGACGTAAGCAAACAGAAGCTATTGATTGGCCAGCGGGAGATATGTCCCACCCAGATCACACGCCCAGCAAAACTGCAGACTACATCTGAACCTCCACTTTCTCATCGTGTTGATGGACGGCGCCTCAAGAAATGAGCACATTTAAAGAGAGATATCGGAAATGATGGTGCAGCATGGAAACGCCGGGACTTATAAGCAGTGCAAGGATAAGCTAAAGAAAATGAAGGCAGATTATAGGGCCATTAAGGACCACAACAGGTGGAGTACCTTGAACACAATGACCAGTTACGACGCCCACTTTGCATTGACGATCCCACCCACAGAGCAAGGAAACCATCACAGTGACAAATCACCTCCACCTGAGCGGAGTTGCACTTATCAATGGCAAAGTGGCTTTTGTTGCATCTTACTGGCCCCAGACAGTGGAGGGATCTGCTGTTTTTAAGTAGACCTGTAGGTCTCCTTGTTTTGGGTTCCAGCAATTCTTCACTCTTTCCATCAACATTTTGATGGGTTAGACTTATGGTTAAGATTACACTTGGTCGTGTGCTGCAGATCCAGAAGGCTTATTTTCTACCAACAAGTAAAGATGCAAGTCTATCCAGCTGGATTGCAAAGTCAGACTAATCCATCTGAACTTCCAAGGAATGGACAGTAGCAAAAAAATAAGGCAGAGGAACAGTCTGTTAGCTTTAAGTTGTGCCTGGATACTGGGACTTTTGTCATATTTCTGTTTCTTTGCACATTGTTCTTGTGCATCCTTCACTGCAACAGCTGGTTGTCTAGTTCTTTCCACAATGGGAAGTCCACAAACTGTTCAAGATTGCTCGATGTCCAACAACTGCTCTTGGCTGTATCTTGGCTGTATGTGTGTAGACAAGAACTTGGGACTTTTCACCAGGCCAGACTAACCACTGGGTTCTTGTGAACCTTTTCAATCACTACAAAACAATTGTAGTCCAACAAACCATAGAAAGACCTGTAGAAAGGCTAGAAAGTTTCTATCAAAAGGTATATAAAAAAAATGACATGACAGTCTGGATATTTAGAGAAAAAACATACAGAGACAGGACAATATGAGACTTCTCGGCCAAATGCAAAGTTCATGTAGGTATTACATGTATCTGTACAACAATGAAGCAATAAAAAGACTGCATGGTCCTACTGAATGAATTGTTAAACATTTGTAAAGTATTGATCTGATTAAACACATATTTAAAGAATATTTTGTCACTGTTGGGAAAAAAAAGTCCTGCTTTGGTTAGATTTTTTCACAAGTGAATCTCAGATGAGTTTCCAGAAAAATCATCTTTAAATTGTATTAACGTTTTAATATAAAACAATGTGATGATGTTTTGCTTATGGTTTCCACTTCTACAGCTGAAATTTTTATCCATACTCCATACAGAATTAAAAAAAAACATGAAAATGAGTACCCAGTTGCATTTTTGCAGGTTGTCCCTGTGTTAGTCTTTGGCTTTATCAGCCTCTGTTGTAATTCAACAAGTGTGAATACTTGGCATTTAAAGTTGGTGTCAATTGAAGTTTGGTTACGGTGTCTTCCTCATCAAGTCCAGATGAGTGTTGATACTGCTTCTCCTCTTTCATGGGCCCTAAACTTAGCAAGTCCATCGTTTCCGAGAACTCCAGTAGCCCGTGCATCAGCAGTCTGGGTCCTGTCCGATTACAGAGTCATCAGGTTCGCACATCGATGCACCTACCACCTGGTGCAGGTCATTTTAAGCAGCAGAGATAAAGACAACTTCTGGCAATGAGCGTATGAATGTCGTTTTAGTGTTTGAAGGCCAAGTCTGCAAATTGGAGGCCAACACTGATCGCAAACAGGAAGCCAATGAAAGATTAGATCCTGGCTGTTGAGGTTGATGACGCCTATGACTGGTGGAAAGGCTGCTGAAGTAAGAGAGATATCGGTTAACTAAACTCTGCACTTAAAATAATTCTTCCTGTTTTCTAAAAGAAACATATCTCTTGGATTTGAGCCAAGCAGAAAAGTTTACTGCTAAGATTGTGGTGCACTGGCGACAGCCCAAAACCAGGTGGAGAAAAAAATACGGGGAAAAAAATTACTATACGTATAAAGAAACAATGGTTTCTGATATTTCACCTAAATATTCATTAATTAACATAGCTTGACATTTACACTGTGCCTCTTGCTAGCAGTCCCTGCTGCCAAATCCCTCCACCCATGGAGTAGTGCTGCTCTGTTATCACCCTTTGTATAGCTAAGCCTGGGTGGGGTCTACAAAAACACAGCAAGGTCTGTCCCTTCCTCAAGTCGGCTTCCAGACTCTCTCATGAGAGGATTTCAGTTGGTAGTAGAGGCTGGCGAAAAGCCATACCACAGGGGTGGGGCTATTTTTACTTGGGTTACTGTATCCTGTGTTGCCCCACGTCTAGAATGCCTGCCTATCGAACAACTCCACCCTCCACCCCCCCAGGCTCAAGTGTAGATGAAATGAGATGTGTGTAAAGGTATCCGTCCGTCTACCAGAACTATCGGTGTTACCCTGTTCTATGCTGCTGCAGGCACCACATCATTATAGATTTAATAAAGTTTTCATATTTGTCATTTTCAAAAAAGTGGTCAGCAGTTTATAAACACTCACAATGGACATAAATATATTTAATTTGGGATTTTTTTTTTTATGTTTGTTTATTTATTGTTGTTGTTGTTGTTGTTTTTCCCTGGGTGGAATGAGTGCACAACATACATCTTGTAAAGGCTATGTAAATACAGCCCCCCTAATATCTGGTTCACTGTCCTGTAGCGAGTTGTACCTGGACCACGCACTTTTTACAGCCATCAACAAGCATCTAATATAAATAAGCCTGGGTTCTTGGCAGAACTGGTAGAGCTCATTTAAAGTAGTTGGTTTCCTCACTTGTAAATGGGTAAAACCCATATACAAGCACAACTGACAGATTTCAGTAAAGACTGGGATTTCCCTTAAAGTTAGCCTATTTTATCCAATCAGAAACCAGTTCCGATGTGTTTGGGATGCCTGTCTTGTTGGAACAACCCATTTTTGTTTGAGTTTCAATTGTCAAGCTCCTGATTTAAGGTAAAGCT